ATAGTTATGTGATCAAAATTCAGACACTTAGCAACTGACCCATATTTATGATGGTTGCAGTGTCCTGGTGTCATTTTTGCAACCTTCTCACAAGCAAAGTCAATGGGGAAGCCAGATTCACTTAACAATCGTGTCATTAACTTAACAACTACAGTGATTCACTTAACAACTCTGGCAACAAAAGTCGTAAAATGGGGCAAAATTAATTTAACAAATGTCTTGCTTAGCAACAGAAATTTTGGACTCAATTGTGGTTGTTAAATTGAGGACTACCTGCACAGTAAATAAAAAACAAAAACAATTGTTCAGCTGAACATATTTATTTTATATAAAATTGTATCTATATAAAATTAAATAACATAGTTATTTAATTTTTATAAAATTGAACTTATTAATCACAGCAATTCAAAACTTTACATGTCCCCCCCTTTTATAGTGATAAGCAACACTAACAATATAAATAAACTTAATACTTCAAGATAGAAATAAAACAACATTATTCTTACTTGGCTTGGTTCACTTACTTGACATTTTCTCTTAGTTGTTTCACCAGCTTAATGTTGACATCAGCTTCCAATAATGCCGTACAAACTTCTTTTAGCATAGCATTTAAAACCTGTAAGGGCAGAGGTACGATACAAAAATGTTTCTGTACAATTTAACTATAATGTTTACAATTTATCTTTCCAATGAACATTTTAGATTAATATTTACTGGTTGGAAAATAATACAGAAAATAATGAAATTTCATATGGTTAAATCTGGTAGACATAGTGGACTGAGAAAAAGATAAAAATTTCAAAAGAAATTAATGCATAAGAAATAAGAATATTATATCTCTATTATAAAATCTACTTGGCAAATGGCACCAATTCACTGAATCTCATCCACTGAATTTCACATAATTAATGATGTATAGAATCTTTACCCTATTACTTTAAGATGGGGGTCTTTTCTATCAAACCCAAACTGATAATAATCTTTTCTATGTAGCTGCCTTTATTATATTTCACATGGAAAATTTACATACCTCTTCATTGATAATGGTAGCATTGCTCAGGGAGCGCAATGCTGAGGTAATTTTTCTCCCAAGATCTGCTAAAACCATCTTGACGATAGATTCAGCTCAAATATGACCTATAAAAAGACATAATATTGCTAAAATTATTCTTCATAAGCTATACTTTATCTTTCATATAATAATCAGTAATTAGTAGAGAGACAGTTGTTCACTAAGTCTCTTCTGCTCCTGAAATTTCAAAACTCACTGTTCTAGTCCTCAAAGGTTTTATGGTGTATTAGGAACAGTGACTTTTGGGACTTCAGTTCCCAAACACTCCATAAAATCTTTGGGAATATTGAAAGAAATACAAAATTAATCATCAACATCATCATCATCGCCATCCTCCCATCTTTCATTCAACCAGCTGGATTCATCCTTTTGTTAAAAGCTTCTTTAAATAAAGAAGAGCACCACTCTTTTGAGGACTAGGATAAATGTAAGTAAATATAAACTAAGATTGCAACTGTATTTTAGTTTAATGATTTTATTATCTGTATTAGAAATATATACCATATTTAAATTTAATATTGGTCCTACTCAGTAAGTGGGGGGGGGGAGAGATACAATAGATATATAGATATAAATATAGATATAAAACAAACAGATTGCAGGCCTACTTTTACTCTACACAGCTTGTACCATCCATTATACCGGTATCTTGACTCTATAGCTACCAAATAAACCGCTGCAATAATTTCCTATGGAATATATAGAAAACATCATTCTCATTACAGCATGAAACCTTAAAAAGCAGCAGACACATCAGCCATAGCCCTTCTTCCAGGGATGCCATAGATAGTTATCTATATTTCCAAGAGCAACACTGGAAATTAAAACGGTGCTCAGTGGAGACTACCACATAAAACACAATGATTGAAAAGATAGAGAGACCTAATTGTTTTCCATCATTGCTTTGGTTCTGTCTTCTGATTTGTAGAAATTATAGTAAGTATACCCCTTCTTCATCCTGTAAAATGCTCTGAAAATATGCCATAGGAGTTTATAACAGGAAATCAAAACTGCCTGAGTTCTGACTTAGCCACAGAAAAGCACCATATAATGCACATAGCTGAAGTTCTGACTCTTTTTACAAACCATAAAGTCGCCTTAAGATGGGTGGCAAACAAATTTAATAAATAAATGCTCTATTCTTGTTAATATAACAAGTCATGTGTACCATGAATTATGACTTCTCAGAACAAAAGTAATCCAATAACAACTATATAATAATAATTCTCATCTCCAATATAAGAAATTGATGCTATATTTGCACTGTTGGGAATTTGGGAGGTAGACTACATTGGTTAAATTGGAGGCTTTCCCTTCTAGTTTCAGAATTAACTTATCTATTTTATGGATTAATTCAACTTATATGGCCGTCCAGGCAGTCCAGTAAATAAACCTGCCTTCTGCCATTAAGAGCTTTATAGGTGATAATCAGCACCTTAAATTGCACTCAGAAGCTTATTGGGAATCAGTGCCGTTTGGATTGCTTTAATGTGATTTCCCCCACTCACCCACCCAGAGGTAGGATTCACTTACGTTCCCTACTGGTTCACAAATGTGAGCATGCATGCACACGCTCTCTTTGCGCACATGGCCTTCTGCGCATGCACAGTAGTCACACATTATGTCTGGGCAGGTGGGTGGAGCTTCCCACAGTTGCCGCTACTGGTTTGCACGATCCGGACAGAACCGGCTGAATCCCACCACTGCACCCACCCCTGTAGTTCTGAAGTGCAGTTATTGGAGAATCTATCCTCAGTAAGAAAACTATGGAGAACATGTCAAATTGCTCAATTCTTTTAGTTAAAATAATTTGATGCAATATATGTCAGTTTAAAGGGAAGTAAAGTTCCCATTTCATCAGAGTTTCTAATTCCAAATATGTAATCCAGCATTTGCTGATCATATTTTTTGGGAAGAAAGTAACTACTCCATGGGTTATTTGTCATAATAATATTTTATGACTTTATATCCTGTTAACTAGTACCTTTTTAATACCTGCAAACATTCATTGAACAATATGAGGTTGCTCAACTAGCTGAATAATTAATCATTAGGATTGCTTAATTAACTCGAAGAGACTAGAAGGAACTATAGAGAAAAAAATGAAATTAGAATAACTAAATTTCAGCTATAATTCTGTAACACTTTTAATTAATAGCCGAGAAAGGCTTCAACGCAAGAAAGCATTCTTACAATTGCACTGCTAATTATAGCAAGCAATATGGTAGAAGGGAACCTGTTGCATTTGCAATCTATTACTATTTTGTGAGCTGCTTTAGGAGATAGGAGATAAAATATAGTTTAAACTCCCATTTTACTGATTTACAGGATAATTTAAACTAGCCACACATATTAACAATAACAAAGAGCTTCAGATTAATTGCACTGTTGCCCTAATAATCTGTTGACCCAACTTCCTGAATACAACAATTAGGATGGAACAATTTTGATCGTGTGACATTTATTCAAAAACTAGCAAAAAAATTATATAACTTGTAAAATATTGGAACACAAATATTGGATGCATCTGAACATAAGCAAGTAAAACTCAAATTGCCCAAACACTGAAATTAAACATCAGTTTGGCATGCCCCCTGGTGCAATCCCAGTCCCTGTAGTTACCGTATATCTCACTATGTTGGACACCACACCAAGAAAAGTAATTGGATAAATCTTGGTTCAGTTAAGACGGTATGTCAAGATAGCCAGTATACTGAATTAACAGCCCAGAGCAGTTTTTGATGGCCAGTTTAGACACATGTATAAAAGAGGAGAATATTCCATTCTTTTTTTCTTTTTTCTTTTAAAAGGACTACTATATACCTAGATGTAAGAAAAACATCCAGATTACTTGATGGGCACTTGTTTACTTGATTTCAATTAACCCCCGAAGAGGCTTCTTGCTCCGGTTCAGCCAGTGCAACTTGTGGCATCGCTGCAAAAGCAGGATCTACATTTTTAACTTCACCGGATAGCACGTGTGCTTCCCCTCCGTCCAAAGCTTTGAAATGGGTACCTATGCAAAGGGGGCACGGCTGGATAACCTGAAAGAGTCTGGAGAGGTTTCACATTTGTGGACTCGGGTTATCGAAAAGCGACCAGCCTTCCACTTACCGAGAAACGAAGCGGCGGCCTAATCTGGCCCCGCTCTGAAAGCCACACAACAGTCCGGGCCACTTGGTGGGGGGGTCCTCAAAAAGCCGCTAAACCAGACTGGGCACCAGTAATCGGCTCCGATCCCTCTCCAGCATCCAAACAACCAGGAAGAGTGTCACGTCACCACTACACCAATCAGTCAGTTATCATCCTTCCCAAGGCAAAGTCGGGCATCTGCTTCCGGGTCATCTGTGAGAAACGTCCCCTTATGAGACAGGAGAGTAATTAAATATATAAATACAGATATAGAAAAAGGAAGAGGTGCGCGTTGGCTTCAGCTTCCGAGTATCCGTTGAAAACGGTTGTACTGGATATCCGTAGAAATATATTTGAAACAGAACAGGGTTTTGCAAAAAACCAGTTTATATCTCTCTAATCAAGCAGCACACACAGTCTCAATAACTTTAAGATGGGTGGACTTCAACTCCCAGGATTCCCCAGGCAGGTGGGTGAATTCTGGGAAGTTCACCTATTTTAAATCAGCTGCGGTTGAGAACTGTTAAAACAGGGGTCTCCTATCTTGGCAACTTTAAGACTTGTGGACTTCAACTCCCAGAATACCTCAGCCAGCTTTGCTGGGAGTTGAAGCCAGGGAGTTTTCTGGGAGTTGAAGTCCACAAGTCTTAAAGTTGCCAAGATAGGAGACCCCTGGTTAAAAACATAAAGAGGAAAGTAGTAAGGACTTTTGAACTCAAGGAGTCAATTTCTGTCTAGATTGCATAAATTTCCGCAAAACTAGGTTCTGGCCCAGATTCATAATGATGATTTTTTCTTTCTTTCTAGTCTTTTAGCACAATTCAAAGGTAACATTCAACTTGCTAAATTTCGCTTTTTTTTTTTTTTTTTTGCTAGAGGCTAATCGGCACCGAGGGATAAAACCAATGATAAATCAACGTCGTTCGGAATCATGACGCCAAGAGCTGTATTCAAAAACAGCAAAATTATTCATCGCCACACAAAACGAGGGACGGACGCGGTTCTTGAAAAAGCGCCTATTGCCGTCACCGTCTTTAAAACAAAAGAGGAGGAATACCAGGAAGTTCCGGGAAGACTCATCATATTCATAATTCCCGGAGCAGCGGGGGGGGGATGGGATAATGGCAGTTACTTTTGCGCATGCGCTCAAAGCCGAGCGGTCGAGTCTGACTTATCTAGGCGTAGGGAGAAAGATGATAGAGGCGCGCTTGCGCGGTACCTTCAATATCAGGTAAGGATGGATTTTCCATCGGCTCGCCAAGCGGTGCTGAACGTAATAAAGGGTGCGCGTGCGGGGGAGTTGCCTCGCCTGCTGCACTGGCTGAGAACATCTAGTAAGCGGAGTTTCTTCTTACGCGTCGTATTATTCCCCCCAACACTTGAAATAGTATAACGTGAGGTCGCCAGACAGTTACGTGTACTCTTTTATAGGATACGCCTTTCCATCTCCCCCCACCCATTTTTCCTCTTTTTCTTATACTCAGAACGTTTATTTGTTTTACACTTCGCTTATCTGCCCCTTTTTATCATTGCTTTTGCTGACTCTTAACTTGGGGAAACCGCATGGAGAAACCTTACTCAATCGGTTTGGTTTAATCACATCAAACATGCTGAATCAGATTAATTGGTCATTTGATCCAATTGATTGGATCAATTCAGTGACTCTGGGAAATCCAGAAGAAAGATACGGCATCCTATATTGTTCTCCAGTAAGAATATGTGGAAGCTGGGCTGCCTTTGAAATTCGTTTTGACATAGGCGTTGTGATGGATTGCAGTTAAGACTAAGAGTACACACATGTCCCACTGGGTGGGTTCACTTTGCATCTGGTTGCTTGGTATAAAATTTGTTCTCTCTGTAAAAGCCATCTAAATGCATGACCTTTGCTACCCTGTTTCCCCCAAAATAAGACATTCCCTGATAATAAGCCCCAATCAGGTTTTTGAGTGCATGGCAATAAGATCAAGCGCTTATTTCAGGGTTCAAAAAATAATTTCAGGGAAACACGGTATGTATCCCAGCCCCCCAAAAATAAAATAAATAGAATATATATGTATTAAGACAATTGTTTATGTTACAATCTTTGGGCATCCCTTGAACATTTGCTAGATTACAGTTGGAGGGCATTGTTGGTAGTGAATTTTGAATTTCTTTTTTTTTTATTATTTTGCAATGTTGTGTAAAGAATTTTTATCCCAGGAATTTCCTCTTTTGGAGGTGTCTCTCAAGGATCAGTCTTGGACACTGTTTTTGTTGTTCCTTTGGGTGCTCTCCTCTGATTCCTAATCAACATTTCCAGCATCACTGTTATGCTGACAAGTCTATCCAGTCTTTTCTGACCCTTGCTGGCAAAGCATGTTCAGCTGTAATGAAACATTTTATCAACATTTCCTCTTAAATACCCTTTTACTGCCTAATGCTAAATATGAATAAAATTGAGATGGTCCTGTTTTGGCCTGATTATCATCCCAGTCCATTACTGAGTCTTTCCCTGTTTGTCTTCAGGGCTGCTGTATTGCCCTCAGTTTCTTCTTCTAGGCCTTGATTGATTCTTGATTGCTAACTAGCTGACTTCATGCCTGTTTACTGATTGTACAGCTAGTGCCATTAATTTTCTTTTGATGACTGTTTGTAGAATCTGCACTTCTAGGAATCTATGCATTCAGCAGCCAAGTTAAATAAAGGTATTGCCTTGAGTTTCACATGATCATTGCAAAATCCGTTTTCCCTGTTTTTTGCAGATGACTTTGATGAATTTACATGCAATAATGATGATATCATTCTCAAAAGTATTGCTGAAGATATTCGACATCGTTTGCCTGTTGAAGCAGTGCTCAATTCAGAGCATAATGCTCTTCAAAAAGTAGGTTTTGCTATTTAACCCTCCCATAAAAGTTGACAAGTGATTTTTAATTAGAATTTTTTATAAAGCCATCTATACTTATGGCTTTGTTGGCTTTTTTGTTGATGTAGTCCAACAGAAGGCAGAACATAGATCAAGGTGCAGTAATATCTCTAGGAGTTATTCACAATTATATCAAGATTATTTTTCAATTTAAAAATGCAAAACATTCTCTTGATTGGCCTTATCTTTAAAGTTCAGTGTTCTTCAGTGTTCTAAAATAGAAGTATCAATGTATTGCTTGTAATTAGATATTATATTGCTTCAATTATATTATTCAATTTTAGAATAAGGTGTTAGAAGGTTATAGTATATTGATATACATATTTGTATACTGTATTTCTCGATAGATTTGGACTTAATCGAATGCTCAGCCGATTGTCTTTATCCCAGGGATTGTTGTGACCCAGGACCATGTAGTTAATATTAAATGCAAAATAGTTCCAAAAAACAGATTTTATTCAAACAGCTGAGAATTAACTCATTCTCAGCGTATTCCAAATTAAATGAAAGCAAAGTCCTCAAAACACCATTCTTCAGTTTATCTCTGACCTTGGGATAATTAGGCAAACTGCCAAAGGCTTTTCTTGGCAACAGTTCAGGAACAGAAGACGCTGACATCCAAACACGAAGCAAATCTCTCAACGGTTGTTTTTCGGCAAAGAGGCCAAGAGCCGTTGCTGCTTTAGCTGCTCCTGCCTTCTGGCAGCTCTTCTCATACGTGCACTAGGAACAGGCTCCTCCTGTTCCTCTGCCTCTCTACTGTCAGCCTCTGGAGGCTCCGAAGTCCGCGCATCACTCCCTGGCCCCATCTCTGCCTCCAACGCAGATCCCTCATCCGGGCCTTCCCCAGCCTCCAGGACTGGCCTCATTGCTGTCCGACTCCGCTGCCAGCTCCGCAGGCTGCTGACAGACCACAACAGGGATAATCTCACCATTAGGGAGTGTAAGGCAGTCTCCTAAAGTGGGTTGATATTGGGATGCAGCAAAAATACCTTGGAGAAGAAAGCTATGTCCCACATTCTGCCCTTTAAGTTAGTCTACTGCCTCAAGGTACATCAACAATTAGGAGCAGCATCTTTTTCTTTTTTTTCTAAATCTGGTGAACATCTGGATTCTACTAAAATGGAAAATATTGTTGTTTCCTATGGATTAATATGTGCTTTTTAATTTGCTTGTATAGAAGTGTCTGAATTTTCTTATAGAAAACTGGATTAGAAGCTGTTAATTTCCATTAACAAATGTCTCATTGGTGTGATGAATAAGAAGTAATTTGTTGTCAATTGAAAATACCATAGGCAAATTAGTGTGGGAAATTCTGTTTCTGTTTCTTGGATTCTTTTGATATAAAAGGGATGAGGCTTCACCTTTTCATGAAGAGAGGACTGACAGATCAGATATCTTTTCCACTTTGGAATCAACTCTTAGGAATATATATGGTTTTAAAGTTATTAGGAGCTATTTTGAACTGGAAGAAAATCTGTGACTCTGCACAATTGACTCTTATGATGATCCATGTAAGCCACAGGATGAAATGTTTCTTTATTTGTGAAGATTTACCAGGTATTAGAGTAGATCTTTCTAAACTCAGCAGTAAGAACTATAGCAGAGTTTCTCAATCTTGGCGTTTAAGATGTATGGACTTCAACTCCCTAAATTCCCTAGCCATTCCCCTTGCTGGCTGAGGAATTCTGGGAGTTGATGTCTAGACATCTTAGTGGAAGTCCCCAGGGAAGTAGCATCAGTGGTTGCCCCATCCTTATGGAATAGCCTCCCCAAAAGATCTAGGCAGTCCCCTAATTAAATTTTAGGAGGACAATGAAGGCTAGTTTTGCTAAATGGGATTTAAATTGCTTGCTAACTAGATTATTCTTCAGTGTGATGGAGAATTTTTTTTTAAATTATGTGTGATCTGGATTTTTGAATTTTTGCCTTTTTAACTTGATTTTATGGAATACTTTTGTACGTTTATGGTGCTTAATTTTTCCATTTCATCTCTATGCATTTGTGATTGTGAACTACTAGAGCCATTCAGATATGATGAGGGCTGCGGTGGCTCATGTGGTAAGATGCTGGGCCTACGCACTGTTGAGGTCAGCAGCTCGGTGGCTCGATTCTCGTGAGCGAATAAATCGCATAGGGACAAGAAAGGAGCCTCCCCTGATTACCTTCCGGCATTCAGGCATCCTGCAGATAAAAATAACACCGAAAAAAATCCTTTCACAGAGGCAGGCAGCCACCTCGGGGATCCCTGGCTAACGTGTGCCATACGCTAAATAAATAAAACCAGATATGATGGATTATAATTTCTATAAATAAATAACATAGAAAATGTATGATTATTGAATTTCAATGGCATATAAACTGATGTGGAAGAAAATGTCACAAATATTTATCAGGTGTGCCTTTTTTCTCTTCAGCTTCATGAGCAGACAATACCCACCATTCATGTTGATGCTTTCCTTTATGATGATGACTGTATTGACTCTTTATGTGAAGAAGGAAAGATGAGCAGAAATTATTGTCTAGCTTGTGGCTCTCATCAGACAGCACCATTAGGTAAGCAGTTATGTATTGTATTTTTTTTTTACCAAACTACAGCACTGACCTGAGTGTTCCCTTGCTGACATCAGACCAATCATTTTAGGCTGGAGTTTGTGGGTGCTTATATAACATACAGTAAATATTATGTGACCTTGCTTGTTCAAGAAATAACTCCTATGGCAGCTAGATACACAAAGCATGTTTTGATTAGAAGGCAGCTGATTAGGTTGCTTCTCGATAAACAGGTACTTCTCACTCTCTAGAAAGCTTTGTAGCAATTTATTGTAACTTTGCATATTTTTAATCATGTAGTCAAAAGGCATTACATCCCTTTTTATTTCCTAAGAATGCTGAAAGACTACGCTATATGGTTTTTACCTTATGGTTTGCAAGATTTCAATTAAGTTTTTGATTCTCAGTATAAAATCTAAAAGAGAGTCTAGTCACTAAGACAAAAAGCCTAATAAGTGCCAAAGGCAATATTAGTGGGTATATTAGTACCCGCATGTGCTAAGATACTCATGATCACATAAGCTTGAAAAATAAGAAATTGCATCTGCTTTAAGGAGACAACTCTCTAAATCTGGTGCAACTTTTTAAAGTTTGGGTTGAAAAAAGATAAATTGCTTTCATAAATACCAGAAAAATATTGTGCTTGTATGTGATCAAAAAATTTTTTCCAAAGTATTTTCAGATATACCTTTTTTTTTTCTGAATGATTATAAATCAAGAAATTGTGGTGATGATAATCTATTTTCAAATGTCCAAATAACAGGTTAATTAGTTTCCAGAGTGGTTAGATATGAACATGTTGCAATCTGGAATGTGTTTCAAAGTCAGCATGCTAAATTTTGTTGTTATGCTCACTTAATACAATGCAAGAAGGGAAAAAAATAAAATCCAGGTTTTGCCTTCAGCTCAGTGATGGCTAACCTTTTCCGGACTGAGTGCCCAAAGTGCTGTTGCCCCAGTTCAGCTCTGCTGAACATGCATATGTGCCCCACCGCCTGCCCCCCCATGCATGTGTGCGCGGCCTCCTGCCCACCCCCCACCCCCCACGCATGCGCAGCAGAGACCTGAACACCAACTGGCCGGCAGGAGGCACACGCACATACGCAATGGAGCTGAACTGGGGTGACGGCTCGCATGCCCACAGAGAGGGCACTCTGTGCAATCTCTGGCACACGTGCCATAGGTTCGCCATCACAGTTCTAGCTACTCAAAGAACCATGTCCATAATGTAGTCCATTTAAATGCATATATACTCTGTTCAGTTTTCAATTGTATATATATATATATATTTATATATATATATATATATGAGGCTAGTAGATGCTAAACAGATCCAGATATTAGATATGGCGAACCCCCTTCAGGTCATATGCATCCATTGCTTTTTTGAAAATTGCAGCAGAAATGTATAATATCCAAAATAGGCTTGGCAATATTTTTATCCCTGCCCAAATTGAAAATTTAATCCAAGTTCTTGTAATCATGTGTTTCGTGCTGCAACGCCCTTTGTTTTATTGTTGTTTCCCAGAATTCATTTCCCATTCCTTTTCCCTTGTGGAACTGAAGTTCCTGTACCAGGAAGTATTGCCTGACCTGACAGGGAAGGTTCTGGTTGACGTGGGCTCCAGGCTTGGAGCAGTCCTGTTTGGGGTAAAAGCTGCATCAGAAATCGGTTGACAATGTCTCTGTTTTCCCCCTCTCTCCTTTTGCTGTTAGTTACTGTCCTATGCTGTATAATATTATTTAAGCAAGTTTCTGGTTGTTATTTTTTGAACCTTAATTTGTTATTGATTTGCTGGTTTTTTTTTTTTTTGTTTTGTTTTTTTTTTTGCTTATGTATTTTTTTTTTTTTTTTTTTTTTTTTTTTTTTGCTTCTTATGTATTATTTTGACATTTGATTACTGACATTACTCAACTTGAATATAATTTTTGGAATGCAAAAGTTGAGGCATGGATCCCTTATTACAGGAACCAGCATATTATGGTATAATTAAAGACATGAATAACCTCAGAAATAACAGGCTGTAGTCATCAAGCTCTACCCTTGAAAAAGAAGGATGCTGGCCTTATCCTTTGCATGCTTTTAGAATTAACTAATCTCTTGTGCAATGGTCATATTTCTGCTCTTGCCTTAAGAAACTATTTTTAGCAAGTAGATGCAGAATCAGCCTTCACATTTATCCTAAAATAGAAAGTGTAATTATTGCTTACATGGTTCGAAAGTAATAACCTTTTACAGGTTGAAATAACAGAATAACAGAATATTCTGGTTTAAAACTTATTATTCAAGCTGAGCTTGATTTTTCTTGACTACATAAATATGTTCATGCAGTCTTCTCAGAAGCTGCGGAGAAGTGGCTAGTAATTGCAGCCTTCTTCTCCCCTCCCCAATTTTCCAGTCTAGTGCAGAGCCCTTTTATTCCTTGGAGTCCCAATATTATAAAGTTTACATGCCTCTGGACTCCCAGTGAGTGTGCTTAATTTTGCTGAAAATTATTTTGAAAAATATGTTACTTTTTATTGAGACAGAAATAGAACATTATTAAACGCATGAATAATATCAATAGTGTCTAATTACTTTTATTTAAATTGGAAGGTCAATTCAATTAAACCAAAGTAAATTTAGGAACTGTCTGGAACCTATCTCTTTTTTTAGGGTCTGGCTCCAGCAAAGCATTCAAAAAATGGATATTGCCTTTGTTCCCCCAAATTTAAATATTTCCTAGGCTGCCATGTGAGCATATATTTAGCATAGTCATCATTAATAAGGCCTGCACACATTTTGAAAGCAAATTCCTTCAGATAAGCAAAATTCAGATGCCTAGTACAGTTCAACTCTGTATTCCAACCCACTCTAGCGACATCTCAGTTTTTCTACTTTTATTTTAGGCCTATTGTTATAGTTCAGCATCCCAGATCTATGGAGTTGAAATGAATGGAGACTTTTGCCAGTTGCAGGAAGCTATTATTTCAAAGTATCGATTTGATGACAGAATAAAGGTGAACCAATACATTTGCTTGGTTTATGTATGGAAGGGCTGCAGGTTAGCATAATGCTCTTTTTATTAGAAATGCAATATTATCTCAGTTACTTTTAATGTCTCAAGCAAGTGACTTTGAAGTAAATATGGTTGAAAGTCAGCTGAGCTTCATTTGTATATAATTAGTGAAAACCAAGAGGAATATAATAAACTCTGGATAAGTTTAATATTGAAGAAACCTTGTAGCCATCCAAATCTTTTGTCTACCTAAGTTCTTGTAAGGCCAATTCCTGCACAGTAAAGAAAACATTCAGCATTTTTCTAACTCTCAGGTGTTACATTTCCCATGTATTAGCTTATCATTCTGATAATTCTGTAAGGGAGCAAGTTTCCACAGTACTGTACATTCTTATGTTAGGTTGCAGCTGTGAATTGAGGAGAAACTGAAGCCAAGAATGATCAACTTCCTTAACATTCATGAGAAGATGAGAAATTTCTGATTCCTACCTAAATTTTTATCTACAATTTGATACCATCTCATATGAATATAGAAATACAGATTTTGATATTTTGCAATAACTTTAATCTACAATCTTCCTTAATAAGCACGGCATTTGACCATCTACCATTAAGAGAGTAGGTTGGGCTGAGGTAGTGCTGGAGATCCAAACTCAGCAAGAATCATTCTACCATATTCCTAAAGTGCTTTGGGGTATATGCATTGTATTAACTAAAGGAATGCCAAGTAATGAAATAGCAGTAGGTTCCATTTTAAACAGTGTTCATAATATGATTATCTTGGATGCAGAGTACAGGCTTAGTTCAGCTACTTGAGAGGAGACAGAAAGTTCCCTCAATCCACAGACTTGTTTTAGTAAGCACAGGCCAACAGAGAGACAGACACTGGGTCTGTGTATATAGAGACTCTTCCTCTTATTGTGTCTTATCATTTTCCTTATTGACAAAACACTCCTAAGTTAAAGAAACAGAGAAACTCCAACAAGCAGACTTCATTTCTCTGTTCACCTTCAGTTCTGTTTCATACTTATGGCACTGTGTATCTCACAGCTTGCTTACTACATAATTTTTAATTTCTTTATAATACAATGATAAGATTAATAACAATCTGCAGTATTGGAAAAATTATTTTCTAATGGTCAAGAGATTAGTCATGTATACTGATGCAAGACTAATAGAAGGGTCAGAACTAGATGGTTTTCCTTGATCTGAACATTTTTTTAACAATCTTAAATATTATCACATGGTTTTCCCCATGAACCTCTGCAAAATCATTTCTCTTTAGGTGATTAATGCAGATATTTGTACTCAAGCTTCACTTCTTCAGAATGCAGACATTGTTGTAATGAATAATGTCTTTGAATATTTCCTTGACAGATCAGAACAGGCTAGGTAAGTTCTCTTTGTTCTGGAAATCTCTAGAAACACTGTCTAACACCCAACCAACTATGCATATGCTATTGTTCTTTAAAATCCAAGCCAGTATATAAAAATATAATTGTGAAAACTGATATATATTCCTTTTTTGTTGTTTTTTGGGATGCAAAAATATTCCAATTAAAGACAGCTGAATAAAAAAGTTTGTGAAACCTATAATTTCCTTCTTGTTAAGGCTAAAACTGGACAGTTAGATACTTGTGCCAAATCCAATTATTTATTTATTTTTTTACTAAATTTGTAATTTAATAAATGTATTAAATTTCTCTCTACCAAGTTCGGGCAAAATGAAAATCTGTCAAAGATCAGCTTGCCTTTTAAAATACATTTTGAAATCATTCTCATGCTTCATGAACCTCAACAATATGAAACATGATTTTCATGCTGTGGGTAGTTGTAGTGTAAATTATGTAAGGTAACCTGCTGGTTCAATGTGCTTGATTTATTTTATTTGCTCTAATATGCAAAAATAAATATTAAAAGACATCAAACAGAGAAAATGAAAAGAGATTAAAGTAGTTTATCAGTGTGCCTGATAAAGACATAGGTCACATGGATTGTTTTAACAAAGGAAATGAGAAAAAGTTAAATTAACCAACATGATACAATTCAATCACCATCAACCATATTAAGTAACAATTCTTGAAGAGATGATCCAAATTCACCTGAAAGATTGAGAAAAGCTTCCATTCTTTTATTGAAAATTTCTGAACTAACTTGCTGATATAGTGAAAAAAATGTTCCAAGCCATAATTCATGTTCCCCCAAAATAAGACATCCCCTGATAATAAGCCCAATCAGGCTTTTGAGTGCATGGCAATAAGGCCAAGAGCTTATTTCAGGGTTCAAAAAAATATAAGACAGGGTCTTATTTTCAGGGAAACATGATATCATCACTAGATGGATGGTCCTCACCTTTTTTTCAATAAAGAGAATAGGGAGCATTATTTAACAGATTTAAAGGTTATTCCAAGTGTTCTATAAAATAATGTGCTACATCTAACATTACGTGACCTGCATTTACTTGCTCTGTTATTACTCCCATACCTGATGCAATGCCACCAAAGATCCCCTATTCCTGCAGAATAGATCTGAAATTCTGTATATGGGAAAATAAGTTATTCGTTGTTAAATGCTGCCCCATTAGTGGAATGACACAGTTGGATAGAATCCTGTATCTTCACCAAACAGAGATCCCTCTTTCTCTATTACCACAACGTGTTTGTCATAATTTCATATATAAAGTAAATCTGTAGATGTGTAAGGAAATAGAATCCAGTACAAGATCCAATTTGATCCTATTGTTCCCAATAAACTATGATATTCTAGAAGGCCAAGTTATTTTTCCCATATATTCAGCCTGTATAGATCTTTTCTTGTTCATGCAGCTCAGGCAAAGTTTTCCAAACATTTAGAAGCTGCCCATCTCCCTCACAGATCAATTCTTGGTATCTTGTGTTGTTTCATATGATAGAATTTTTGGAGGAGTTGCTTTATAAGAAATTTACTTTGTTTTACTCCTAGAGCATGGAAAATCATAAGTCAAAATGTAAGAAAGCCAGGGTCTTTATTAGTGACTGTTCCAAACCTTGAAAAGTCTCTCTCAGAGCTTCAGGTAAAGAGCTATTTTTCAAACTATTTACATGGCAAGATTTTTCTTGGTGCATGTTTTAGGTAAATAATGAATTAATTATAGCTGCTGAATAATGTTCTACTGATAAGCATTTGCACACTGTTTTCTCTTTTGGAGGTAACTTCATTGTAATGAATCTAGATTGATCATGGGAGATGGCTTTGAGATAAACCATTTGACTTAATCTTTCACGTTTGCAACTCATTAAACAATTTCAGAAGGGACAAAAAGGAAAAGAGCAATCTTTTTCAACTCTCCAGAAATCTCAAGCTTTAATTGGTAGGAAAATCAAGGGGATTATTTTATCAGGATTGGGAAAAGCACATTTCTAAAACTTTCTAAAAATTTGCCCCTGAAACTTATTCACCACAGAAAGCTGCAACCATCACTTAAAATTATTATTCTGCATGGTTAGAATATGTTTCTAAATTTTATGGGAAATCTCACTTGTATTTTCTTCTCCTTCCTTTTAACTGATTTGCTTATATAGAAACAGCATCATTGTAAGATATAGAAGCATATTTAAATTGTCTATGTAGGTATTACCAATACTAGTCTCATTTCACAAAAAATTAGATGTTATCTCATTTTTAGATGTTATTTTTAGATGTTATTCAATGTTATTTTGCTTACGTACCTTCAGCATTTCTGAGATTTATGTATTTTATGTGTTGTAGTGAATTGTTTTAATTTCTTTTCAGGTGGACATTCAGCTCAACCAGTGGGTAGAAGCAGTACCAGTGCAATATGATGAATTCTTAGAAAATGCTGATAGAGAAGCACTTGAACAAATTTACTTGTACAGAATTCTATAGCATACAAAATATGTACATTCACATCATGTGCTTTTTAAATAAAAAACATTTTAAAGAATGTTACAGTTTGTTAAACTTTGTGTTAGGGACTGCCTTTGAAAATAATATGGAAAATCAGTGATGCATTTTTGGTAAATAAACATGAAGGCATTAAAAAAAGAATCTCCTTGGTTTATTTCTATTGAGGGTTGCTAGTTAAAAAACTGGAAAGGCTGCATTTGCCATACTTTGCAACATATTGTTCCTTCTCTTTCATTTGTATTTTTTCTTCACATTTAAACATGTGGTACATAAGTCGTACAATTGTTCCAGGACTTATTTCTTGCCTACATGAGGTACATGTTTTCTGTACAGTATTCATCTTTGATTTTCTTAATTTGCAGGAAAAGATGACAGTATTTTAAAACTGCAAATTATTGGTGGTTACTTAAATTAACTTGATGGCACTGTGTAGATTTCCTCTTTTTAGGAGGAGGAAAGAAGGGCTAAGAGGAATTCATTCATGTCCAATACAATATGCCCTACGTGGGAAAGAAAATAATAAACACTGCCCATAGAAAATTAATAAAGCAGTAATTGGCTATTTTTTTCTGAAAAAAAACCACGGAAGTAATCCAGCTCACTTGTTTTCATTTCAATTTTCTTTTAAATCACTCAGTCATATAGAGTAAAATAAATTGTTCTGTAATCTTGAGTGCCGTTATTTCCATCTCCAGTATCCCATTGCCAATTTACTGATAAGAGTTTCTTCTATATTATTAATGATACTACAGAAGCCTGAAAAAGTTTTAGCATCTTTTGCTCCTCAATCAAATGCTCAATCAATTAAATTGGATAGAAGATAGTTTTCTTTGAGGAGGGGTAGCACTGACATTGTTATTTAGTTTGGGTAATGAAACATCTGCAAGAAAACAACCAAGCTCAGAGAGCAGCAAGGACCTTCATTTCTACCCTGAGCTACAAATATTTTCCTTTATTAATAACTTTTCTTTCCCTAACCAACCAGGAAAAAAAGCATGCTGCTAGTGAGAAATAGTTTCTATTGCTTTTCTACTAGCAGTTTATTTTCCTTGAAATCCAAACCGGAAGAAAAAGGCAAGCTCTTCTTGAACAGAGAGTAAGTACAGTACTGCCTTATAACCACAACTGGGACCAGAATTTCCATTGCTAAACAAAGTGGCTGTAGTGTCATACCTGATTTCATTACCTTTCTGCTTCTGTTGTTAAGCGAATCACTAAAGTGAATCGTGGTAATTAAGCAAACCAGGTTGTAAATTCAGATTAAAAGGGAATTTAGCAAACCATTTGGTAGAAATTCCTGATGGTTATCTGAATTTATTAGCAAATCTATAATCTTGCAGGCCTTCTATTTTCATCACATAGAAAATTATTGAAACATTGCTTGCACAGTGACTTTGTCATAAAAGATTGTGATTTTAAATGCAAGTATATATTTTCAAAAATAGATTTTCTTCCTAGCATTTTCCTGCAAGTTTAGGGCTTGCTTAATTTTGGATCAACCAAACATGAGCCATCAGTTGTGACAGGAATTAACTCACCAACTTGTCACATTATGGGTTGACAGTGATTAATCTGAAGTCATCCAGATGACTTTCATGACTAAGGCAGGACTTGAACTCTACTACTAAACCAAACTGGCTGTCCATTGCCAACAATAGCTGAATTGTAAGTCACCCAGAGTCATTCCTTGAGATGGATAGATAGATGGATGGATAAATTCTTCCAAATCCAGAGTGCTACAATTGTCACTCCAGTTCAGCTTGACTAAAGTTGAATGAGCTCTGTAGAACTGTATCAGCAGCTCCTGCAGCAGTCTGAACTTTCTGAATTGATGCAGGAAGAACATTCTTTGTTGTGGCTTTTTAATGATGGTTTTAATGCTAGGTGTCCATTTCAAATCAAGGGAGACTATAGAACCCAGAAATTTGAAGGTCCCTACTGTTGATACTGTGTTATCTAATATAGTAAGATGTGGTAGAATAGGAGGCTCCTCTTAAAATACACTCTCGTTTCTATAGTTTTAAGCATGTTCAGCTCCAGATTGTTCTGTCTGCACCACAGGGCCAATTGTTCAACTTCCCATCTACATCACCGTTTCGAATGAAACCAATGACTATTGTATCATCAGGATAGGTTTCTATTACACTTTTGTAATATACATAGGTTACAATCACATAAGATATACATTCTTTAAGAAATGACAAAAAAATTGATAAATGAAACCAACAGTCCGTATTTTTATTATCCATTGCATAAAACAAAACACATCTCAAGTACTGAATAGTTTTATTTAATAGGTTGTAGTGAAGTCTACTGTACTTAAAGAGCTATTTATAAGTTACCACTAGATGGCATTCAGTATCTTTGGTTAAGAATAATTTATAAAGGTAGCCCTAACCTTTCTTGAATTTTTGTCTCAATTAACTTTTTGTTTGGGTAAACCCAAACCTCCATTAAAGCAGGTACTAATCATTTGTTGAGGATCCACCAATAAATATTGTGCTTTATTGTCAAACCAGTGGTGGAAAGACAATTGTCCTTTACTTTATAACTATTAATACAAACATATCAATTCATAGAGAATAAAACAAAATATATCATTGACACATGCACACTTTAATTTAACCATTGTTTATTGAATAAATTAAACCGGCTGGTTTACCTATAATTGTCATAATTCATGGACCTCTCCTAAAGGCAGGGGTCAACAACACATAAGCCCAAACCAAGTGACTCAATTATGGCTTAGTAAGATATATCTGTCAAGGGAATGATATCACAAAAGTGCTATTATATTTGTCCTGTTTCTGGTTTTCCATCGTCAAGCAAAAGGAGAACAAAAATAAGAAAAGTGGAAGAGCTATTGAAGTCATCAGGCTCATCCTCCTGGTAACAGCAGAAATCAAATTGAAGCTTCTCTGAATTAGCTATCCAATTTATTGGATAAAATTTAGTTATCTAATGAGCTCATACAATCTAGATTTTGCTCTACTGTCACCTATTTTTGAAGTTATCTTTGGCCGAGTGCAACTCAGCTGAAAATATGTATATACTCCTGCCATACCTGGTATGAAAAAAAACCTTTCACACTATATTCTTCAGAATGCTGGCATTTTATGAAACAGTAATAGATTTTTCAAACAGAAGAACAGTAATTAAGAGAAGCCTCTGTCCTCTCTTCCAACGCATAAGCATAAATACATTTTGGAAATTAGAGATCATATTTTTAATTCATTAAAGACTAAAGACTAAAAGGTGTCCCACAAATGAACAGTGCATCTTAACTGAATTAAAATGCTCCTGAAATATACAGACAATATGTGCAAATTGCTCAATAATATGTTGTAGAAACCACCATAGACAGCATTTCCTCAGCTAAGAAAAAAAAATGGAAAAAGTCCATGGAAGAATCTCATAATATTCAGATCCAAACTGAACTAATGTTAACTGTGAGGTGTCAAAATATGGATATTGAATACAATAGTGTCATGTATCAAGTAGAAGTAGTTTACATACTATAATCCACTTTTCTTATTGTATTTATATCCTGAATTACTTTTCCCCCCAAAAATGTCTTTGCTCGTCTCTGTAACTATGCCAAAAACACTTTCAGACATTTTGTCGTACTATTATCTGAGGTAGGAAACTAGATTATTTCAGAAAAAATAAAATTGTTATATATTTTCTTGTTTTACCTCATTTATATTTCATCCTTCCTGCAAGGAACTGAGAGAGTACATTTTAATCTTGCAACATTTTTAGGCATTAGGTTAGGAAGACAGACTAGGATCTATCAATAGAACTACTTACAGAGTCACAGTGGAAAAACAAAGAAGATTGTGCAATTCTGATATCCATCTTCCTCATACCTATGGAATGGAGTACATTTGTAGGTATCAAGCTAAACAACGAATTATTACTACTATCTCAAATAAGATCCAATCAAACTGGGTGCAGTCAACTGATGAATATATTTAAAAAGATAATAAATCAGAACTGAAAAGTCTATGATTGTGACTTTTGACTGTGATTGTGACTATTGACAGCTCATTCACTTTAAGTCATTGAAATTGCAGCCTTTTTATGGTGATGCAGAGTGCTATCTAATTAATTAACTAATTAATTTTTAGTTTTAAATTGCCAAAGGAAGCATTCTATAATGGGCCATGCTATTGTTCCAAGTTGTAAAGATAGCTTTCATTTTTTCCTATGTTGTTAAACAGGTTTTTATTACAAGTATTTCTCTCATGGTTTAACAAATGGTCTTTTTATAAATCTCATTGTGGAATTTACCATAATTTTTGACATCAATAAAAGTTCTGAGTTCTAGAACCTAGCAGTAAAGAATCATTTTTGCAAATAGTAAACAAATGATTGGGACAAGAATGCTACTTTGGGAATAATAATGCCTACCAGTAGCAGTATAATAATACACTCTATTTACATATTTTTCAAATTTATTTTTAATGATGATAAATAAAAATGTAATTCTAAATAATTTATGAAGAAACCAATTTCTCCAGAAAATTCTGCTATCTGGAAAAACATGAAATAACATGAAACAATTTTAAACAAACTTTCTGATTTATTGGACCAGATCTAGAAGTTTAATCTCAAATTCAACAATACAGGATTTAGTAGCTAGTAAAATACTTAGAATAGTAGCCAAAATGTCTTAAATTAAGAGACATAGGTTACAATCACATAAGATGATAAAATAGTTTTAGGTACCTATGTTAGTATTGTTTAGAATATATGAGTTTACAATACAGATTATATATAATTATAGTACATATCTTGCAGAAAAAATTACAAAAATATCTATGATTTTAAAATAGCTGTCCTTTGTATAATAAATATTATTAGAAGTGGCTCAATTTTAATTTTTGATAGAAGTTTGGTTAGATATATCAAAGGTATCTTTGTTATTTCTTCACCTGTTAGCTCCTTCCACATAAGTTTTAGAAATAAATATCAAGACATTATGGGGCAGAGTGACTTTGGAGTCTGTGGCTATGTTTTAATTGATATATTAAAATATTGCTATGAAATAATGAGCGCGAATGTAGTCATAATTAGTGTGATGTAACTTTGCACTGAGACATGGTTTGCTTAACAGGTTTAGTGAACAGATCACTTGA